CACTGTGTCAGTTCCACGGAAACCACCTAGGCTTTCTGCTCCAGGGCACTCTGGGAGAATGACAGGTTTAAGGGCCCTGGAAACACAATGTCAAGGTTCTAGTTGTAGTCCGTCCACCGATGGACAACAATACCTTCTACAATTCCCTCAACCTCTTGGGCTTTCTAATCTATCTGCTGGGGATGAGAATACCTGACCTGCCTTCCTCAGAAGGTTATTTCAAGGTTGAAACGATATTGCTACATCGCTGATGTGAACATGTCCCCGAGATTATCAACCTGACACAAATGGGCGCCAGCATCCCTGCCTCTTCATTTACTATCTGGGATCACAACAAGGTCACCATCCTCTGCCCTCTCTTCAAACAGATACCTTGACACACGAATTGTTCAAGAAAGCAGAAAGATCCGGTTTAACATAATTAGTCAGCAGCCTTATTTTAAAAGACAAAGAAGAGCTGCTCAAACTCTGAGTTTTTTGGAGGCAGGAAGTGGCTGGCTTTCAGAAAGGGGACATCATCACCTGCTGAAGAGTGAATGTGGTCCGGTTACGGCGCTGTTTTCTCCGCAGAAATCCATCGTCGAAATCTCCCGTAGAATGGTTGCCAAAGGGTGCAGTGCCTGCGATGAGCAAACTGGATCAGTCTGAACACAGCCCTACCCCCACAGTCCTCACGAAGAGCCCCTGCTATGCACCCTCGCTGGGAGGCAGCGGCCTGTCCCTTCCAGACAGAACCTTGTCTGGCCAAAAGTGTTTTTCTTTGCTCCTATTGTTAAGGTTCCCTCTTTTCCACTCTCTCATGCCCTCTCTCTCTCTTTCTGTCCCAGTAATCTCTGACTTTAAGCTCAACTATGCCTATTTCATAGGATGATGGCAACCTCACTCCCCCAGACAGCCAAGTCCACTTGTGAAATTCTGGACCCTCTGAGTCAGGAAGGGTCACTAATTGAGATGGAGCTTTCATCAGCTTTCTGGCTCCAGCTGCATCTCTACCCCTTCAGCTCATCCCTTCTACTTCTGATCTTTTAATAGAAGCCTCGAAGTTTCCCTTTTGCTCACCTGTTACTTTACTTTTCCTTGTTTCTATAAACAATAGGATTAAAGGCTGGAAAAGGGAAAAGAAAGAAATCTCCAAGAGATGTCCCCAGCACTCTTCTCCTAGAACTTCAGGGCATGAGCAAGTAAGAGGTTTATAAATGAATATTAATACCATTGGTCACAGCTCATCCGTACCATAGTGGATCTGTTACATAGATGTCAACTAACAAGAAATCTGCTCTAATAGTGACTGTCCTGAATTCCAAGCAGACTTCAACAGAACCATTCTCAAAGGGCATCCCAGCCTATGGCCAGGCTCATAAAAGACCTACTGCTCCTGATTCTCTGAAAAGAAAGGCATTCTTTCCACAGTCCTCCCTGGCAGCCTCCAAAGCTCGTATTAAGCCGGAACAGAGTTTGGCCCCAAACGTGCATTCAGATCATTTTCCAAATGTGCGTCATTTACTTGACAGTCCACAAAGACTTCTTAACAAAACAAATGAACAAGTTCCCATTAGCCAATGAATGCTGTACCTGCCATGGGCTCTGGTCTCAGAATCACTGCATGCTCGGCATTAGGAGCTGACAAGTCACACTGCCCAGGCATTATCCCTCTGAAGGACCTCAGGCCCAAAGTAGCAAGGTCCTTTGGGCTTTTTAAAATTCTGTGTACTAAAATTCTATGTACTACTCATTACGCTACTCCCCTCATCCTATGCCACAAGACCTCCACTTTCTGGTGAAGACTTCTCCTTCCATTGTCTCATCCAAATTGCTTTCTTCCCTGAAATCCTCAAAATACTTTTCTCTAGCTCATTGGAAACTTCAAAGAGACAGACTCTAAACAGTCTTATTCCCACTATTTTGTGAGAAACCAAATTGTCTCCTTTTAAAACAAAACATCTGACTGGTGAAGATGAAATGCAATCTCTAAGATTCTCCAATCACAATCAGCCTCACAAATTTCTGCTTACTTGTCCCAAATTGTATCACAAAGTATACATATAATATCTTTAAATGAAACCCTTTATGTCATACTGGATCCTAAAAAAGGCTAACAGTTGATCAAATTAATAAGAACAAAGATTGACAACCTAATAGAAAAGAGGAAAATATGAGAACATGTTTTTTACTTAAAAATAAATAGAATGGTTGATAATGTTATGAAATTTTAAACCTTTAAATAATTAACAAAACATTTTTGCAAAAAAAAAAATAAGATGCACAATTATAATCAGTACAAATAAAAGCATAATTAATTGCATATACTCTTCACCATTTGTAAGAGCACAAATTGGTGAAGACTTATTAGAGGATAATTTGACAATATCTGCCCAAAATTTTAAGTGTATATACAGGTATTTAGTCTATAAATATACTTTAAAAGTGTGCCAAAATAGAGAGAGAAAATTGTTCCTGGTAACATGATAACAGAAAAAAATAGAAACAACCAAAGTCCCCAACGGTGAATATTTTCTGTATGACATATAATGGAATACTACACAGCTGTTTAAAATAAGCCAGTAGATCTGCATACATTAACACAGAAAAATCACCAAAATCTGTATTATGAAGAGGAAAAACCAAGTACTGAACGATATGGCAGTACAATCTCAGTACAAAGAAGGCATAACATATACAGGAAAAAATACATAAATGAGGGTAAATGCAGGTAAAAACACATTTTTCTTGAATGAATCACAAGAAACCAACAATAGGGAATATCTCTAGAAAAAGAGATAGAGAAGGAGGATCTCACTTTTCAGTGTACAAGTTTCTGTTCTATTTGAATTTTCTGAGCAGGTAGATGTAGTACTTTTTAATTTAACTTCAGCAAAATTAACTGAGAAGTAAGATTTTGAGCCATGTTTGCTTTCTCCTGTATGACTTTCTAGATTAATAAAAATTAAAAAGCCAGTAGGCAATAACGAGATGTCAGATTCCAAAGATCTGTCCTCAGCCTTTCCATCCGCAGCAGTCACCTCCTCCCCAGCAAGACTAAACTAAAATAAAACACCCCTTTCTGTAAAGCTGGCTTTGAAACACATCTGCAAAGGAATAAGAAAGTTCTTAAAATCCCATTTCCTTTTCTTCTGGTCAGAGAAATCAGGATTACCATCGAGGTGGAATGTGCCCAGATGCAGGAGAGAAAGATGAGCTGAGCTGAGGGTAGCAGCAGCTCAGTGCTCTGGGGCCACGACAGGCTGGCCAAGGCTCTCCCCAAGTGACTTCTGCAACCCACTCTGCAGGCTGGACTTTCCCCTTCAGCCACCCTGGCAGCCCACCATGTGCTAAATGCCCAAACCTCAACTATCCCACTTTAACTGGAGAGGTGGGCTGCCGAATACCAATCAGTCCAAACCCGAGATTCAGATATGCAGAAAAGGTGTATCTACTGAAAAAGCAGAGGCTCTCCCTGCAGCATGGGTCCTTGGGAGCAAAAGAAGGTAAAATGCAGTCACGTGTCTGTCCTCCCCTTCTTAGGAATACTGATCAAGCTGGCAGGGCTTGAACACTGGTCTTCCTTAGCCTGCTTTAGAAAATCTTACTGAACTCTTAAAAGCTTCTATGGAAAAAACAAAACAAACTTTCTGAAATCCCTCGTGCATGGCCCAGCTGAAGCCAGCTACTGCTCCAGGTAACCAGGGCAAGGTGAAGGAGCATGCTCTGATGTTTCAGGTTCTCCAGAGTCTCACTACCTTTTGCCCTGCCCCATGCCTTTGATTTCTTTACGTCCAAAATTCATTCACCTCCCCCATCCCCAAATAGAGGAGTAGGTTGCCAAAACCAAGTCTTGGTATTGCTCCCAGTATGATAGGCTACAGTCCATGGGGTTGCAAAGAGTCGGACACGACTGAGCAACTTCACTTCACTTCACTTTCGTCCTGATAGCCCAAGGCTGAGACTACTGGTCTTAGGAAGGCGCTGTTAAAGGGCCAGAGTGTGTGGCTTTGCATTTGCCTGAGGCATTAGTAATCTCCTCTGTTTGTGGCGGGCCCACCTCTGGGGAGTCCTCAAGACCAGCGATCCAAGTTCTCCCCTCTCACCAACTTATCCCCACCTAACAATCCACTGCAGGGACCATGCCAAGGATCCTGAAGGGAAATTTATTCTAAGAACTGGAGACCCTCAAAGACCCAAACCCTGGCCATGGGATGCCCATGGGAGTGGGAACTGGTTAGCATTTGGGGTCAGAAAACCAGTGAGTCACAGAGGAGGAGCCATGCCAGGGCACTTGGTGGGCAAGGCCACCGGACTCCTGAGGGCCACGTTGTCCTGGAGCAGACCTTGAGGACCCTGTGCAAGACTGCCTTGGGCAGGGAGTGAGAGCAGCCTGGCAGAGGGTGGTTCCTGCTCCTTTCGGGCCCAGGGCCATGCAAGCCACCTAGTACACCGTGAAAGATTGATGCAGCCCCCTGGGCAGGGGAGTCTCGATTAGAGGCGTGACACCAGCATCTGTGCTAGGAGGGTCCGCTGGTACCGGCAGCGCACATTGCCTGGGGCCGACCAGCCCAGGCAGGGATGGGAGGTAGGAGGCAGGTGGCGACGGGGGCGGAAGGCTGGAGCGCGATGTGGGGAGGGGTCTAGGGGGCCTCTACCCAACTGCCCGTGGCTGCGCCCTTCTCCGAGCTGGGACCTAACCTAACCAGACCCAGCTGCCGCTCGGGCCCTTTCTGGCCGGCACCGGCCTTTTGGAGCAGCTTCGGCTCGGCGCTTACTCACCCTCTAGCTGTGGTGGACAGTGGAAATAAAACATCGCCGACGGCCCGATCGACTGCACGGCCAGGACTCGGGAGGGTGACGGCTGGACCGCCAAGGCACGCGTACGCGTGGATCTGGCCCGGCTGCAGAGCAAACAGCGGTAGAGTCTTAAGTCTCCCTCTGCCTTAGCCTCCACCCGGTCCGGGAGCGCACTGGGCGCTCGCTTCCTGGAAAATCCCTCCCAACGTCTTCAGCCCACTATGGGGACTGGAGGGGAGGCGGAGTGCCGTCGCAAGCCGGGGACCCTGTGGGCAGCCCTTCTGTTCGCGTCCACCACCCGGACAGACGTTCCCCAGCCTCGGCCCCAACACCAAGCCTACGCAGTCTGGTTTCCGGCTCTCAGGGGTCCCCACCGCCATCCCTGCTCCCAAGCCACCTCCGCCGAGTCGGCGAGAGCGCCAGGGCATCAGCGCCAAAGCCAGCCCCCGCCAGGGAGGCAGCCCCAAGGCCGGCCGCACCGGGCTCGGGGTGTGGGTGGGGAGCCCCGCGTACCTCGGCGGGAGGCGGGAGAGGAAGGCCGGAGCGCGACCGCCTCTGGTCCGCTCGCCGGGCTCGACTGGCAGCGGGCGGGGCTCCGCGCGGCTGGCGCCCGCAGGACCAGAAAAGTGACTCGGGAAGTGGCCAGATGTCTTGCTGTCTGTCTACAGCGCGCGCCGCCGCTCAGCACTCGCCTTTATAATCTCACGCATAATTGGCCTTAATCTGATTATTTCCAGCGCTGTCTACAGCGAGTAACTTGGATAGGTCTACTGGGCCTTACAAATGGCCCACGTGGTGTAAAAAAAAATAGAAAGAAAGAAAAAATCTGTCATTTCTTAGCAAACATCAGGAATGTCTTTCCTCTTTTCTTTTAGAAGGTTGAAACAATAACCACTACCACCACCCCCAAAAGGCATTATTCTCTGACCACTCCACCCCACCCCCACCCCGAGTTCCCTCTGCCTCAAACCTTTTTTCTCCGCCGGAGCTTGACTTTAGGCTCCCCTTGTCAGAGGCCTGGTGACTCCCGGGCTGAGAATTGACAAAGAGCTGCTAATTGTCGCCACCGGATGGGTTTTGAGGGGACTCTTTGCACACGGCTTCCCTTTCCAAGCTATCGTACAAAAGGAAAGTTTGATTTTGTTCTCAGCAAGGGGTCCCTGAATTTATGTTCGCTTCTCCATGCAAATGATATGCGGTGGGACCCTTCGCAATTACTTTTAAAATGCATCCGAGGCAGACACTCAGCAGAGAGAGACCGCCCTTCCCTCTGCCTGGGTGAAAATTAAACTCTAAAGTACCGGGCTGAAATTTTCAAGTCAGGGGCGCGGGATTGGATCAAATCACATAAACTGCAAAAAAAGCAAGTCTAATGGCGCATAATTGGTTCTGTAATAGCATTACACTAGGATAATAGCCCGTTACGGCCCCCTGCACTATTAAGTGCTTCCCTGGCGGAAAGCCTTTATGATATTAAAGGGGGAATATAATGATATTTTGGTTATTAAATGCGTGTAATTAATTTATGCACCACTGAAAATAAAGTTGGTATTATGACCCACTCAAGATGCATCAGAAGATGCAAGTCAGACAACTGTTGATAAGTTCTGGTGTCTGTGTTCCGTCTAGACTGCTGATTTTATTTTGGGACGATGGCTTCTTGGACAGACTGCATAAATTGAATATTTTATAAACATTCTAATGCTGCGTTCAGGATCCCTGGCGAGGCAGTAGGTCGGGTCCCTGCATCGCCTGGGATCCAGCCTTGATCTTAAAGACACAGTGAGTGGAAAACAAAAGGCCTGGCAGCCCACACGTGGACATCCACCCCAAGGAAGGTGCATCGAGCAGGAGGGCAGATTGCCTGCCAGGGCCCTGGACCACTCGTGGATGACCCTCTGAAAACCGCCAGGAGGAAGAAGCAGGACCACTTCGGCAGAGACAAATCGGGGCCGCTACACTTCAGCGGCCCCTCCTGGGCTCAGCCCGCCCAGGCGCAGAAAGCCGACCCCGTCTCAAAGAAGAAACCACTGGAAACGATGGCTGGATTCTGAGTGGAGAGAGTCCGCGGCGCCAGCTTCGCCAGGGCCACCAACTCCAGGAGTCCAGGCGACCCGCCAGCGGGGAGCATGCCTGCAGGTCTGGGCGGCGAGTGCAATAGCAAGCTGGGCTGGCGGGGCAGTGAGAGAGCCATTTCCATTCCACCCGGAAAGGGCTAGAGTCCTGAGAACCGACCCTATTTCAGCCCAGGCCAGGAAGCTCAGCGCGCTCTCTCTCCTTGTCTCCCTCAGAGCACCCGTGCTCTCTGGAGTTCTTTTCAAGAGCCGGAGTCTTCCCTTGAGTGTCTGGGTCTGCCAAAAGTCCCCTCAAACTCCTACCTACCCTAGGCGGCCTCCTGCAAGCACCCTGCGCGCTCCGGAGCCGAGTGCCTGTGAAGCGAGGTGAGGAAAATATCTGGGCTGGCTCCACAAGATGCTCCAAGGAGTACCTGAGTATCTGTGTAGGAACCCTAGGAACCAGGCGCCCAGCGCCGCGTTGGCCCCAAAAACCAGCGAGGTCCAAGCCCGTCTCAGGTCCCCTTTTCTGACATTGGCCGAAGCAGTTTCCTGTCAAGGCCCAGAGATGTCCTAGGCACTGGACAGGTTTGTCCTGGGTCTGCGGGCAGGGCGCTCCCCGAGCCTCCCTGTCGGTCAGAACCCTGGACAGCGGCACCTGTTTCTACCGGGATGCTAAGGGAAGCGACCAGTCACAAGGTCCCCTCTGCGACCCTGTGCTCCGCGGCGGCGGGACGCACCCCGCCAGATTCTGGGTGTTGGGAGCCGATCCCAATCCTCTTCTTGTCCAAAACGAGAAAGTTTCTTGGGACACTCGCGCAGTGCTCGCAGCAGGGGCTGAACCCTCCGTTCCTCAGCCCAACGCCCAACTTCTGTCCCGCGGCCCCAGCCGGGAAGCGTCCCACTGCCGCTCTCCGTGTAGTCCCGGCCTTCCCAGCGTCCCGCTCCTGAGCCTGGCTGTCTCCCCGGTGGGACACTTAGCCGGGCTCCCGCAAAACACTCACCCAGAGCGGGGCTCAGAGCCAGCGGGACCCTCGGTCTCGTTTCCCCGAAGTTCCTCTCCCCCAGCCTCGAGGCCGGGCTCATTCCTGTTGGCAAAACAGCGAATAACCAACCAACCAAGCAATCACAGAAAGGAAAGGCTACAGCAAACTTTGATGACGACGCGGGCCCTCTTTTTTACCTCGGATTGTCTCCGACCCCCGGGCCGGGACCGGAAAGAGGTGACTCACACGTATTGCTACCATTTCCCTCCCCTCTAAAAAAGAGCTTCGGTAACGAAAAGGTTATTTTTTCTTAATTCCTGTGCGGTAAAATGTATTTTCCAATTAACCAAATTCACCGATCTGTCCCGCTTGGACACTCTGATAATTTACAACCTAAAAGTGTACTTTCTTTATCTAAAGACCAAGGTGACTGCTTTTAATTTTCTCTAACCTCTTTACACTTGATGTTCACCAGACTCATAATGTTAATTGGCTTCATATACGGATCATCAGTTTAATGAAGAAATAAATCCTGTGTTGCTTTATGTTTTAACAGTGATTGCTTTAATGAGGAATGTGACGTGTTCCAAAATCAAAGCTGCAGGAGACATTAGAGGGGGCTTCTATTAGGACGGAAATGCTTATTTAAAGTTAAAACCACCACGGGTCATATTTCAACAGTTTCTATCAGGACCAGCCTTCCCCTCTCCCACCTGGGTTGCTTCCAGTCTCTAGAAGGATGCAATTGTGTGGTTGGTCCTCAAAGGCTCCTTCTCTGTATTTAATACACAGCAGCCACAGACTTCATTCTCTCTAAGAATCATTTTCTAGTTACTAAACAGGCATGCTACCTTACCTCCTGTGCAGCAGAGCAGAGAGAAGCTGGAACAGAGTAGTGAGTTCAACTTTCAAGGTTGTTCACTTAAAAAAAATAAAATCAAGTGGGAAGACAGTACCACACACCGTAAGATTTGTGTGCAGAGCTGTGCCCCTAGCGCAGCGCATCCCTACCACTGAAAATTCAAGCCTCCGCTCTTAAAAGACAGACAACTTCGGCTTGGGCCGAGTGGGCGTTTGCTGACCCAGGCTCTGGCCCCTGAGAATGTCTGCAGGGGATGTGCTGGGCTCCCGTCTGGGTGATGGTAGCTTTCCATCTCCGTATCAATTAATAGGAGAGTAAATCTGCTTTCTCTAATGGGTGTTTGATTTTTCTAATTTTAAGCTTGTTCTCTATGAAGAGAGAACTGTCATCGCAAAAATACTGAGAGCAGCAATAAAATGCTGGAAATTGGAACATCTATACCTGGAAGTCCTAAATTGTCCTCCTGTTGAATTATGAGTTATTTTTAATTTATTCCTGAAAAGAATTCCAAATCCTTAAAAAATGTAGGGGGTTGGAATGCCAGGTCAGTGTCTCCAACTTCACACATGGTATTTATTTCTTACCATTTGCTTTGTTTTAGGAAAATGGAAAAACATTTGGAGACACCACTGTCAACATCTTTTGAGTCCGAATGCACTGTGTTGGATTTGACTTTTCAGCTGTACTCAGAAGAGATTTTTCCAACCTTTAGCAGGAAAAAGCTTTCTTTAGCAGAAAAAAATTTCAGTAAACACAGTTTAAAACCATAACAATGGGGTCAAGCAGATAAAAATATTTCAATTTTCAGGGAAAAAGAACATACTGAATTCCTGTTTACAAGTTTTCAAAGTGTCCAGATGATCTGTAATATTGTTTCACTGTTTAAATTTTTTAAAGCCTCTCAGGTGTAGCTCACTGTGGCCACACAGCATTCCCCAAGACAGAAAGTGCAGCGCATGCGTGCTCAGTAGGGACCCCATACATCCTCTGCAAATCTATTGTCATTTGTAGTTTTGGAAATGGCCAGCCAAGAAAGTTTGGTTTGACAAACGTGATGGAATAAGTGAGGGAAACAGCAGCTAATTGAAATTCCAGGTGAACAGGGTACTATGAATAGGATATATATATATATATACACACACACACCCCTATACACACACACACACACACACACACACACACACAACAAGAAAAAGATAGGCATTTTATTATCTTGGAAATTTCCTATCATTCATTAGTTTTATTGTCATGTAAAAGTAAGAGCAGCTACTTAAATACAAACCAGCTTCCAATAACTTCACCTGCAATGACTGCAGGACAAAGTGTATTCCCATATGGTTCTTGGGGGCTCTCAAAGCTGGCTCTAGTCTGCCTAATCCTCACAAGGTGAGAAAGCATTGCACCTGAGGCAGGCCTGCTGCCTGAAGAGTCTGGTCGTACTTGTCACTCAAGCAGGCTCCAGTCCTCATGAGCAAGGTGAGCTTGAGCAGGTCACATGCCCTTTCAAGACCCCCATGACTTTCTACACAAAGAGGTGATAAAAATGCCTACTTCAAGTCCTGGTGGGAAGATTAAAAACAGTACTGAAGGGCTTAGGGCACTGAAAATATTCTGCATATTACAGTGATGGATACATGTCACTATACTTTTGTTACAACCCAAAGACTGTACAACACCAATAATGAACCCTAATATAAACTCCTAGCTCTGGGTGATTATGATATATCAGTGTAGATTCACTGACTGTAACATCTGATGGGGGTGCTGATAATGGGGAGGCTATGCATAGAAAATTGCTCTAAAAAAATAAAGTCTATCTT